CGCATCGAAGCGCTTCTTTCGACGCTCGTCATGCGGGTCGACAACCTCGCAAACGATCTCGCCGATCTCAAGGCCGCCTTTGCAGTGCGCCTCGACGATATTTCGATCACCACGACCAACACCCTCGGGTGCATCGAAAGCGTCGCGTCGGCAATAGAGCGCGCGACGCAAGAAACGGCGGCCACCATCCTTGAGGTGCGTCGTCTGGATTGATGTCTTGTTCTCAAATGTCTTTGCGTATAGGCCCATGACAACGTGCTCCCACGTGGGATGCTAGTGTTGACGAAGAAGTACAAGGAGGGGAAGCCGCCGTCGATTCCGTCGAAGAAGTACGAGGGCCCGCTCTTTTTGTACCTGGTGGACGAGGTGACACACGAAATCCTCTACGACAACGTAATCTACCCGATCCACTTCAACACCGCCGGCCTCACCAAGCGGATGGTGACCGAAATCGCTCCGGGCTTCCAAGACGCGCTGAATTGGATCGGCCAACCCTTTCAAGCCATTGCGGATGCTGTCGCGTGGATGGATGACGCGCTCCGCGTTTACTATACGCCGCCCGGCACGGCGATCGGTGACCTCCACGAGCTCATTATCAAACACGACCCGAAGAAGTCGCTTTGCGGTCTGACCCGGACGGTGCTCGCCGCGAACAACGGACGCGTCGTCTGGACGGTCAAGAAGCGCAACAGCGAGAACAGATACTAGTAGTGCATGTGCGACAGCGACAGGTGATCTTCTTATCGCCAGCGTCGCCATTTGTCTCCTTCTTCTTCAATTCATGTCGTGTCGTCGTTTTTATTTAACAAACTAATACTAGTAAGTTATATGCTCGTATTTCCACTACTAAAGATGAGTGTACTCGACGCCGGTATTGGCGGTCGCCAACTTCATGCGTTCGCGAGCTTCTCTCACACACGCACTAGGACTTCCAGCGTCTCGGTTTCTTTGCGAAACAGCGCTAGTTCTTGACCTCGCTAGCGACGAGCGTCTCGGTCGGTATAAAGACGACACACACAAATGCTGGAGCATCTTCTTCCTCTGAAGCCAATGGTGTTGAGGAGTGCGTTCTCGGTCGCGAAAGCATTGCGTATCGACGGTACGATACGTTTGCTTGACTACGTCTTCCCCAGACACCTTTTCCCATTCGAGGTTGGACGGGTTCACGCTCAAAATGATGGACGGGTGTCGCCGTCAACGAGGTTCGCTGCACTTCCTGCCACCTCAAACTGCCACGTCATGCCCTTGGTACCTCTGACACGTGATACAATATTCGATCTCGCAGTTGCCTGCCATTTCCGGTTGAGCATGGACGAGATTGTGACGCGGGTCCGGCAGGAGCTTGCGCAGAAGTATGGCCCGATGATGGTGCAGTGGTACGAGGCTGTCGACTGGCAAGAGCCGCTTATCGTCGGCCTCATCAGCTTCCACGTCCTCCTCCTCATCGCGGTCTTGGGGCTCCGCCACGTCTACAGCGCCCAAGTCGTGCTCTTTGGCACCATCTGCGGCCTCGTCGCGGTCGCCGAGCACCTCAACACGTGGGCGCACGGCCACTGGCGGCTCTTTGCGACGCAAAACTACTTCGACAAGAACGGCGTCTTCATGGCCATCTTTGTCTCGGGCCCGCTGCTCGCGATTGGGTTTGTGCAGCTGCTGAGCAACCTCCATGGTATGGCCCACCTCGTCGTGTCGGTCAAGCGCCACGAGTACAAGCAAGAGCTGCTCTCAAAGAAGACGAAGCATGCCGAGAAGAAGACGCAATGATTGTAAGTTTGAAAATGCAAGCAAAAATGACCCTAGTTGAGTTCGCGGACGGGAAACTCGCGCGCCCAGAGTAAGTGCGTGAATTCGTAGAGGTCCGTCGACACCGACACCTTGTACGGCGTCGCGTTGAGCGGGCGCATGACGTCGGCGCGCATGACCTCGATCTGGTTGGCCACGTACGAGCGGATCTCTTCAATCGTCGGCAGCTTGCCCTGGATACCGCCCTTCTGGCCGTCCCACACGAGCGAGTGGAGCGGGATCACGGCCGACGGCGTCACGTACACACGAACCATCTCGTCAAACGCGTGGCGGCAGAGGAGGCGCTGGCCCGCCTCCGGCTCGCGCTCGTTGCAGCCCATCATGAGGTCGAGGATCGGGCTGCCGTTGGC